ACACACACACACACACACACACACTGTCACTTGCCACAGACTCTTAAAAGCAATACATTATTACATCTGAAACCAAAGAGGAAGTTTTTAATAGCATCAACTATTTAATCAAGGCTCAAGTGTCCTCAATTGTCTTTTTAAGCACTAATTTGTTCTGGTGAGTATCCAAGCCCACCTGTTTCATGTAAACAAAAGATCTCAGCTCGCTCTTTAATCTATAACAGTCCTCCCTCCCTTTTTCTCAGTATTCATTAAGAAATCAGCTATTTGTTGCCTAGAAAGTCCACATTGTAGCCTCTGGAGACTGTCTCCCCAAGGAATGAATGCCTTTCTATTCTATGCATTACTTGAAGAGGTATGGTCACATACAAATATTATTTAGATTTCTCAGCAAGACTAAAGGAGAGGCTGGGATCTGTCTAGTTTAGGATGATCTCAACTGGAGCAGCTCTGTGCCATGTAGTGTCTGTATTTAAGTGCCCCATGTATGGGTCCAAGAATGGGAGAAGAAACTCTCCAATGCCTTCTTAAGCCTAAGCTTCCTATCTACTTGGCCAAAACAAGTCATACAACTGGGTTAAAAGTTAGAGTGGAAGGGCCTGTAGATAGAAATGCCAGTTACTGGGCCTTTGTCAGGAGACATACAACTTGGCATTGTCTTACAAGATAAAGTCAACTCAGACATTCAAGTGTTATATGTCTGATTCGTCTTTCTTGCTTGTAACGACGAGACAGTAATTCGGTCATTACTTCTGCATTGTTTTCTTATATACAGGGTCTTCTGTGAAGGAGTTGTTACCCACTATTAATTACTTGATTATGCTGAGGTAAAGAATAATTTTCAAGTGTTTGTGCTACTGAATTAATACCTTAGAACTCAACACTCCAAAGGAAGTAGTAAGTTTTGACATCATTGTTTATTGCTGCATTATTATTATTATTATTATTATTATTATTATTATATCATGAACTAACAGAAACTCAACACTCCAAAGGAAGTAGTAAGTTTTGACATCATTGTTTATTGCATTATTATTATTATTATTATTATTATTATTATTATATCATGAACTCACAGATTTTTTTTAACTCTTTGGTGTGCTTCAGATCACTGTAGTCAATATTTGTTTTAACACTGAAGTCATGCCATCCTACCAGTAGGAGATCCTTCAGTTTGGTCCCTGAGTCATGTAGAGGAGATCCCAGGAAAGTCTCCTTTTCTCTTCTTTGACTAGGTTTTTCAAGCTCACTGTGTCCCAGAAGTGGACTCAGATTTCTGAGCAAGTGCCTCTATGTGTTATGGAGTCCTGAAGCTACAAGCTGAGGTTTTAAACTACAGGTGTCCTGTAGAGATGACATTATAGACTTGCATATGTGGTGGACAGTGCATACAGTTGCTGCTTATTTTAATGTAGCAACCTCTTGTTATGGAAATAAATATCACTGTATCTTTGGACACTATGTTATTTTCTCACTAATAATTTATATCTAGTCATCACAGCTGCCTCTCTAGGTCCAAGTGCAGACATATCATTGAACTACAAATGGAGAAAATTAACAATATATTGAGATCGAAGCTTTGGAGCTGTCATCGACCCTGCTTTTCCTACCACATGTAAGAGCTGGCTGGGCATCCATGGTGACTCAGTTTCTCCAGGGATATTTCATTTAATGCTTTGGCCCTGGATGACTCTAACTTCCTGAAATCCTAGCCTGTCACTTACTCTCTTGACTGTATACTGGACAATCTTATTAATTTAAATTGCTTTGTCTCCGGAATCTTAACCGTTTAAAAAATTATTTTTTGAAAATTTCAAAGATGTGTTCAATGTATCTTAATTATATATAACTCACTTTCTCAATATGCATTCTTTATAGTTTCAAGACTTCTTAAGAAAAAAGAAACCCGTTGAGTCTAATCAGTGGTGTACATTTGCCCATGGCTGTGGGGTTATTCAATGGGACATTGGTAGCCTGCTATTGCCTCTCCTTAAGGAAAAGCAACTCTCCCACAGTAGCCAGCAGCTGCAACTTGGGTCAGGTCTTTGGGAACACCTTTCAGCTCCATGCTGGAACCTTTAACTGGCTTGATCATGTGCAGAGAACCACTGCATCTGTGAGTTCCAAATTCACAGGTCTCCTCCCCACCCACTAACTCTTAAGTTCTTTGTACCCCCTCTTCCAAGGTGTTCTTTGAGCCTTGGGGTGGGGGTGAAGAGTGTGTCAATACAGATGTTCCATCTATGGTGAAGCACTCACAGTGGCTTAGTATCACTATTTAGAGCAGTTATGTGTCTCTGCATTAACCTCTGCCCAGCAATACTAAGCCTCTCTGACCAAGGTTAGGAACAGTGCAAATCAATGGATAAAAACAGAAGCATTTAAAAGACAGTCGGACAATGTACCTGTGTCAAACAACATCAGAAGGTTCCTCTACCTTGGTTGGTTCATGTGTTCGATAGCCACAGGTTTTGACAGCCTTAGCTCTTAGTGATCATAATCATTTATTTAATAATCATTTTATTATGGTGTTCTTGATACACAAAGCCTGTGTTGCAATGAGATCACCGGTCCCTGCCTCCCCAAGATGTGTTCAGTCTCCTATTTCCCCTCCCCAGTCTACACTGTAAGATACATATCTTCAGGGACAAACTGTGTTATCTAGGTCCCTTTGAAAACACAGCTTGCTAGAAGAACTCACTATGGATAGTTTATCACTCCATCTATAACTTACAAGTCCTTTTGAACAAGATAAGACAATAATGAGTTTTGAAGAAAAAAGACAATAATGGCTCATTGGAAAAAAAAAAAAAACAACTCCTGCAAACTCATGTTCTCAAGCCTTAGCTAGGCTTCTCCCAGTTCTCCCAGTTCTCCCAGTTCTCCTCATAACTTACACTGACTCTACCCTCCTGCCCCATCCTCAACAAATAACCTCATTTTGAACTTCATGCTAACCATGATTGTAATTTGATCAGACTAATAGTAACATCACTACCTAAGATGTTTTAAAACAAAACACCATGCTACAGCTCTAAGAGGGCTAAATGCATCATTGCCAATAAGGAAACCCATCACAAGGAAGGCAAAACCACTATCCTGAGTGTTCAGTACAATCTGAGTAACAATCCACCCCCTTACTCACTGGCTTAAAACCATAATCATTTGCTATTTTTTATGAGTTTGAGTACATTGGCTGGATCTTTTGCTCTGAGCTATGCTGACTCATGTGACTGTCATCAGTTGGAATCTTGAGATAATTCAGCTTTTCTCTCATCTCCTTCTACTAGGTTTTTGCTCACATTACCAATGTGCTAAAACCATCTACAATATTAGAAAGCAGTGTCAACTATATGAATTTGGCTATGAAAGTTGATCTTTGAGGAGGGATCTTTATAAAATATTGTATGTATTTGGTGTCAGCATAAAGTAACCAACTCACCAAAAGGTGAATTGAAACAACAACAACAAACTAGTGCAGCTGCTGCTGCTGCTGCTGCTGCTGCTGCTGCTGCTGTGTGTGTGTGTGTGTGAGAGAGAGAGAGAGAGAGAGAGAGAGAGAGAGAGAGAGAGAGAGAGAGAGAGAGAGAGAGAGAGAGAGAGAGAGAGAGAGAGAGAGAGAGAGAGAGAGAGAGAGAGAGAGAGTCTGCATTCCATGACACTTGTATGGAACTCAGAGGACCTTTGAGAGTCAGTTATTTCCTACTGTGTTGGTTCCAGAGATCAAACTTAGGTCATCATTCTTGATGACAAGTGCATTTATCCATCAAACCATCTTGAAAGCCCCCCAAAGATGAAATCTGAAAAGGAAAACTAGCTTCCCAACCTGGCAACTCAAGACAGGCTTTTAAGTAAACTGAAATCAAGCCCAGATTAGTTTTAGGGCAAGAAATGAAACCAGACATGTGACTACAAACTTTGCAGAAACTCTAATAAAGTCTTATCCTAAATAAATACATCTAAATTAGGGAAGGAGGGTAAGTGTTAATTGGAGTCACAGTTTTAACACTCCATTGACAGTTTCCAAAGTCAGAGAGGCTTTTAAAGTCTTGTAGTTAAAAGGGCTCTCTCTCTCTCTCTCTCTCTCTCTCTCTCTCTCTCTCTGGCATGCCTGCTCTCTCTGGCTCTCTCTCTCTCACACACTCTCACACACATACACACACCACACACACACACACACACACACACACACACACAGGCTTTCCATCTGGTCAGTCCCCACAAACAGTTAACTAAAAAATACTGAAGTTTTCAGTCTAAAAAGCACAACATAACTCTAAATAATGTAGTATTTTTGTCTCTACCTCTCTCTTTAGAGATGCACCCCACTAGCAATGGTTATAGAATAAGATCTCTTAAAAATTTTATTTTTAGTTAAATGTCCTTTTGTACCCACAAGGACTTGTATGTGCACTTGTATGTAGGTGCCTGTGGAAGCCCTAAGAAGGCATCCAATCCCCTGAAGCTGGATTTGCAAGGGCTGCTGGGAACTGAACTTGGGTCCTCTGTTACAGCAGCAAGCATTGTAACCCAGTGAGTATTCAGCCTGGAGCTCTGTATTAGATAAAAATGATAAATTTCTCTCATCTAGACTGAAGGTGTATCACCTCTCTCCAGAATCCTTAAAATGTATCTTAATAAAAGGTAACCTGAGATGAATCATTGGAAACAAATTTTGTAAAATATCTAAGAAAAACCACTCCCTTTCTTCTTAAAACAGAGGCACCCATAAAACCTGCAAAAGAGCTATCATTGGTATCCGTGTCGACTGCGCTTCAGTAGACCCAGTTCATGTCCCCTAGAAGTTCATTATAACCAATACCAGAGAGCCCAGGGCTCCAGCACCAGGGTCAAGGCTTGGCAGGCAGAGTGGCAGCGCCCCTTTCCCTGCCCCTCCACGCCCACCTCCTCAGCAAGAGTCCCCTCCCCTCGCTGGAGCCCGGACTCTCATTGCCCTCATTGTTGGCCTCATCTGTCACTTTGTGGGCAGGATGACATGAATGGATGGGCCGGACACACCTTCCGTCGTGATGTGAAAACCCTGTCCTGATCTGCAGACTGCTCCCGGACTCTGCCAGAGGCGCCGCCAAGGGCTGGGGACGCACCCCTCTGCCCCGATCCTGTCTGGGTCCCGGTC